CGAGTTTGCTTCAATGATTGATTCCTAATTTCGGAAGTAATTTGATAATATATAATGTTAGCGTGGCTCGAATTCTAAAACGTAAACCTTTCTTCGAAGAGAAAGGTGATCGCTACCAAGTTGCATGAACATTTGACTAATATTTATTAAATACATAAGACTTCAATGAACAAAAATTGTGAAAATCCCTTTTTAACAACAAAAATATTACTTGCTAACCAAGGTTAAATGTTAATTGTGGTGCTTCAACTCTGAGTTTTTGTACAATTTTTACCCTTTAATTTTTCTTTTTAACTCTCAACTATAAAATATATATTTTTTAAATTATTTTATTAAAAAATAGTGCATATCAGTCTTACCTCCTAAAAATTAAAAGGAAAATCATCCTAAACTATATCGTTTCAATAAATTTTTATTGAAAAAGACTAAACTACCTTATTTTTAAAGCATGCATTAAGGTAATTTTTATCATTTTTTTTCTTAACTTTTTAAAAATAAAGCAGACAAGCACTAACCCATTTTATTAATTAATCTATTGAGTTTATCAATTATGTATATTTTTAGTTCCTGAACTTTTTAAGTTGAAAAGAAAAATCCTAAAATTGAAGAACTAAAAAATACATATGGACAGAATTTAATAAATTAATTGACAAAAAAATATTTTTTTATAATTGAGGGATTAAAAAAATATATAAAAATGTCAAAAAGATGAAAATTATATAAAATTTTAAAATTAAGGGATAAAATTGACATTTAACCTACTACCAGCAACAAAACATTACTACACATCCAGAAACAAGAAATGCACTTCTCGTATTATTTCTGAAACAAGACAAAACCTTTTTTTTTTTTTAATTTCTTTATGAGAATAAGTGACTCTTGCTAGTCAGATTAAAAGTTCGGATACAAATGTTATCAAAAGGAAAATCTATATAGAAATTTGGCAAGAGCTAGCTGAAGCTGGGTGTGTTCATCAATTCCTTATTGTGGTAATATAGTTGACAAGCATGTCAACAACATCTTTGGAGACCATTGATGCTGATTGCTCCAAATTTTGAATCTTCATTTCAGTTTCCTCTTCCAGTCTTTTCAAAGTATCTCCAGAGCTCCCACTCGACTGTAAAAAATTAATGAAAACATCACTGAATTAAAAAAGAGATCATGAAATCTAAATTATCTACCAATGAAAATATTGTTGTGATACATAAGATCACTAAAGTGACTAATTAGACCTCGAAGATTTTCTTTTGGAATTCAGATTCCATATTGGATCGATAAAGAGCCACATCCCTTTCAGCCTCATCCTTAGCTTGCTTTAACCTTGCTAACTTGGCTAAAATGTAACATACAACATACGGAATTAAAGAATGAACATAACTAGCTAATAGAAAAGTGTTTTTCAAGTTAATTTATAAGGAAAAAGTATAAAAATGTCAAATTATTGAAATATCTTTAATAAATTATCTGTACTTGTTGATTTGTTAATAATATTTATGCCTTTTCACATATACTGCTGCATTTTTTTTTTTATTACAGGTCAGACTTAGAAATTTACATTCTAACTAACTAATAAAGTAACTCAATATTTATCTCTTTCTGCTGGAAGTAAAAAATCATGAGTTCGAATCATATGGCATACGGATAGGATATGACAAGAAATGAAAAATAGTTGCCTCTCATTATGCAACTAAGATTAATATATATATATATATATACACAGATTAATTAGTAATGAGTCATGGAGAAATAATTGTTACAGTTTCTAGCTTTGGAAACAATATGTTGAGCCTCCTGCTCTGCAGATAGCAGCGTCTGAATGCCGCCTTGTCCTCTAAAAGATTCCATTCTGATCACTCTGCACCCTTCAAACAATATATCGCTAGTCAATTCAGCTACACCCAAAACTTAATGTCAAAATTTCACACCTTTTGAAACAATATAACAAAGGGAATTAACATTTTCTGACAATGATCCAAGTTTGAGATTAAGACAAGATTAATTAAGTTGAGATATCAACCAAAATTTTATGCAATCTAGAAACAAAAAATGCAATACAGAAATTAAATCAATATAGTCTATATTGTCAATAAAAATTGGAATTAAATGACTGAAATTTGAGGTAAAACCGTAAAAAAACTAAGCAATAATTGAATGATGAATACCTGAGTGAAAGAATTAGCTGACAGAAGGATTTGGTTTTCTTAGAGATGGAGATTGGCAAATATGTTTCTGAAGAATAATTTGCTAATGTTTTTTTTATTTGAAATGATTTTGTTACCTTCTCCATGGTTAGCGGAGGAATTGGTTTTGGTTTGTTTTTCCTGGTCAAAGATATTTTTTTTTTTTGTGCACTTAAAAACACTTATTTTGGAATAGAAATTTAATTTGACCAACAAGAACTGGTTCCCAAGTTCCCAACTCATGGACAAATGACTACTCTCACCCTATGTTAAGTGCGAAAATTTGATAAAATAATAAAGAGTAGACATGTGAATTAAATGTAATTTTTTTTGAACATTTTGACATGGGTCAAACCCACCCAGAAAATGGGGAACACACATATTTAATGATTAATGTCATTGGGTCTCTAAGGTTAGGTCCATGAATTAAATGTAATTAGTGCTTTATTTCACATATAGTCAATTAATTTTAAATTAAATGCAAATATAAAAGTTTATGTAAAGATAAAACTTTAGTAAAAAAGACAAATATGTATCGAGGAAACAAGCTTTTAACCGACTTTAGTTGACACTTACTCTGGAAGATTACTGCAGAAATACTTTTGGTTTAAGATCCCTTTTATGGGAAATGGAAGCAACCGGGTTTTGGCCAAATAACACCCCAAGAAAAATTTAATTTCTTGTTAACAAGTCTTAAAAAATAGACAAAACATGCTGATTTTTCGGAATTTGCATGTGAAACTTCATGTATTCATTCCAATATTTGTAGTTTTTGAAAGACTTTAATTTAAGGAGCTAATTAAATGATAGAAACCCCCCATTTTTAACATATACAGTTTATAATTTTGACGAGAATGAGGGACAGTAGGAAGAGTGAGAAGTAATTTTTTTTTAATTGATAATACTATAATTATAATACTATACAAGATTGTAAATTTGTAATTTTAATGTATTATTAAATAAATAAATAAATATAATATCATAAGTGAATTCATAAATAAAAAAGATCAATTATACAATGATCCATTATATTTTAAGTTTACAATACCATTTAATATTATAATTATATTATTTTTATTTTTTTATTAAATTTTGAGTATATATTTGACATTAAAAAGGTAAAAATATCTAATTAACAGCAAGCAATATGAATTCAATGGATGCTGATTATCCAGTGCTTACAGATTTTTACCCTCTGTTAATCCGCAAATACTTCGTAGAAAAAGCAAAGAATGGCTGACCAGAGGAATTGATATCCTCCATTGTTATCATGGTACCCAATGAACATGGGAATGTACTTGTAGTAGTAACCAGAGGAATTGATATCCTCCATTGTTATACAGAAAGTTGGATGTCCTGAATCAACATCTTTCACAGAATAATAAACAACACATGCTGCAAGGCCTTGGAAAGTTCTACTCGAAAGTTGAGGCACATCTACAACCATGCTTCCACCAGTATTCTGATGATTAAACCAATCTGGAATCATTCCTGCCGGGAGAAAAATGCTATAAATCCGACACCCATCATCAGACAACCCCTACCACATGATAAACAAGATAATGGTATTGTATCTTCTTAACTTTGGAAAATTAGAAACGGCGAGGGAGAGAGTAGAAACCTGAATGGGACGACCCTTGATCCAAGTTTGTGAGGAGATTGTAAAACACATCCGCTTGTTTAGCAAAGACTTCAATTTGAACAAGTTCTCTAACTTAGCAAGTTGATTGCTAGTTAAAGGTTTCAGCTTGGAACTGCCTTACCTGGTAGGCTTTCTTCTAAATTTAAGTCCTCCCTTGAATGTTACTTTTTCCAAAGATGTGCAATTGGGTGCGCTTAACTCTGTGTGTGATTCAGCTTCTATTGATTGGAGATTCTTGCACTCATGAATGTTCACTTGGGTTTTAAGAGGTAGGGAAGTAAGATCAACTGGTAGGCTGCAGAAGTAGTTTTAGCTAAAATTCAACTTATGCAATGAGGGGCTTGCAACGACCACGGCACCTGATGTGTCAAATAGATCACATTCAGAAACATCAAGCTCTTTAACTTCGGCACTTGGGATATACAAGTTGGTAAGCAATGAAAAGTGTTTCCTCTTAGAAGCAACATCTCTAAATTTGGTAAGCCACTAAGACCTCTGGGAAATGAATTATCTGATAGATTGCAAAATGACAGATTCAAGACTTTCACAGAAGCCAAACTCCATAATTGAGACAAATTGCGGGTGCATGGGCTTTCAAGTGAAGATCTCTCATTGTTCCAAAAAAATTTAACAAGATTCTTACGATGGTCAATGGACATGGGTAAATGCTTGATGGCAGTGCAGCCTATATTGAGCTCTTTCAAACTTTCCATGTTCCCAAAATCCTCTGGTAACTCCTCCAGTTTTGAACAGAGATACAAGTTAAGATTCTCGTGGAACCTTAACTTGCAAATCCCTGTAGGAAGATGAACAAGGTTCTGGCAGTTTTCCAAGTCCAAATAAATTAGTTTTGCTAAGATTGCCAATGGACTGATGAACCTCGATCAAATTAATGCAGCCTTTGAAGATCAATTTTTCAATGTTTAAAAGACCTGAGACGTCTGAGGTTCCAATTAAGTAATGTGAGTAACTGAGATCAAGGACTTTTAGATTTTTAAGAACCTGAAAGAAGGACGAGCATCATTTAATGCTATACATAAAAAATTTGTAACTCTAGTCAAGGATAATCCTACCCGAAACAAGAAACATATACAGCAACACCTTTGGTTCATGACATTTTCCCCAAATATATTGAAGTTAGCTGTGCCTTAACCTCAGTATTACCTATCTTGTGAGAGACTTAAATTTGGTGGTATGGCTACCTGAGGATATCTTTGCCAATACAAACATCTTAATTCTTTAGAGAAATGTTCAAAACCTCCATCAAAGTCAGCATTTCTAAGTTGGAGTATTCTTACTTTGTTCATCCCTGAAAGTGCTTCAGCACTAAAAGGTTTGTCTCTGGGTTTAGGGAAGAACCCCTTAAGCCCTATAACTTTTTCTGTACCCTGATAACAATAAGCATTAACAATGTTATACATAACAAGCAATTACTCCTTAAACAAGGAATTGGAGACTGGACACTAAGGAAAGGCAATTGGGGCTTACCTCATCGTATTTCAGCACCTTATGAACACCTTCATAAAAAGACAGTCTGCTGCGCCCACCAGGTTCACCAGGATTTTCCCTACGAACTATTTCTTTAGCCATCTCTTGGAGCAGATCATGCATCCTTGGCTTCTTTCCACTTATTGTTAAGAGGCATTTTTGGATAAGAATACGTAGTTAGATTTTGTGTGAAAACCAAAACCATCTAGTATTCGAATTGCATCATCTTCATCCATCCCTACAAGGAAGAATGCAATGTCGAGAAAAATGGTCTTCTGACAATCATTCAGTGAATCAAAACATATTTTAATTCTTTCAAAAATCTCTCCATAGGGAGTACTTTGGAGTTCCTCCAATGCACTAGTCCACTCAGGTAGAGTTTTGTCAGATAAAAAAGAACCCAGAACTTTAACAGCTAATGGATGTTCTCCAGCATATCTCATCATCTTAGGAGAAATGTCTGCATACTCATCCCGTGGAAAAAGTTGTCTAAAGGCATGCCAAGAGAAGAATTGCTTAGCATAAGGAAAGTGTAAACTCAGGACCTCACACTTGGCATCCACCCTATGAGCATTTACAAATGTTCATCTCTACATGTTACTATGATTCTACTGCCAATGCCAAACCAACTTTTCTCTTTAGCAAGAGCTGTAAGTTGGTCCAAATGGTCGACATTATCTAGTATGATCAGAACCTTTTTGTACTTCAATTGACCTCTAATCTTAACAATTCCATCATCAATATCATGGAGGTCAATTCTCAAACTCCTAAGATATCATATAGAAGTCTCTTTTCCAAATCAACCAGTTTACAGTGTCTTGATCCTAGCTGGATGTCTTCAAGCATTAGCAAACTATTAGCATCAAATTCTGGAAAGATTCTATTCCTAATTACCTTGGCAACTGTTGTCTTTCCTATTCTAGGCATTCCATAATTCCTATGAAACGAACATCTTTGGAGCCAGGCCTAAAGAATAACATTATACTCTCTACTGGAGACAATTCCAAAGAGATGGTTCACATCACCGAGGTAAGTGGGATGCAGTTTTTCCCAAACATCTGCAATAATTTTCTTGATCAACTCAGACACATCCCTCGTTGATGCGAAAAGGATTAAACATTAGAGTTGGAATCCAACTTAAGTCCACTTTAAGGATGTTATGCTACATCTACCAAATCAGTAAGTAATTGTAGTCATGAGAATAGGTATTTTCAGTCCAAAATGGCTCAAAAAAGAGTACTAAAAAACAATGAGAATGAATTTAGCAACAAAAGAAGAAATCTATCCAAATAATCATTCAAGCAAGGGAATAGATGACTAGATTACCTGTTGACACTCTGTAGATCAAATCCAGAGAGATTGGCAGCATTGGTAAGAGCAGTCTTCCACCTTTCTACTTTGTCCACGGTAACCATCTGGTGATGAGCACAAGCAATGCTTTGCTAAAGCTCCCCCTCTGTTTGCGGATGTCTGAGGGATCCACATGGAAGAAAAAGGGTAGACCAATCTGCCCCAACATGTCCCTACAGCAATCGAGGATCTTCATGAGCTTGTCCAGGCACCATGCAGCATCAGTATAGTTTTTGAAGAACATGACATGATCGCAATGCTAGAATGCTCGATGGCTTCTAGCAGGCTGGGGACAATGCCACCTCCTCTTGTGAGCTCATTGTCATCTTTATAAGTCCTGAATCCCACCTGGTTTAAAGGAGAATAAAGATGACCCAGAAAATTATTGTGGATGCCTTCACCTCAAAAGCTCAAGAATAAGTCATAATTCCAACACAGGTGACGAGGGTCTGATATAAAAGAAGCAGCCATCAATGAAGTTGAAGTATGGACAGGTTTTATTTTCCCCCTGGCCAGCAATAGCGTTCGGTTGAATTTGAAATTGCATGTGAGCTTTTCAACTGAGTAAATGTGACTAGGAAGCATGCTTCATGCAGGCATTGGAGGCATGCTTCAGACGGACATTGTTGATTCCATCCAATCTAGCAGACGTTAGAGACGTGCTTCTGGCATATGAAGAAACTATATATTTTCAAAATCATGGGACTGTTAGATTCCTCCCAATCTGTAACCAGACTTAAAGAACAACAGAAATGAAAATGATGAATCAGTATCTTGACCAAAAAGACAAACCTATACATATATAAGTTATAAATAAAGATGCTAATTTTATATTTTTTTATATTTAAGGGTGTTACATTTATCAATTTCTAAATAAATAAATATTAACTTTTAACTTTTTTATTTAAGAATGTCAACTTTTAATTTTTTCTATTTAAGAATATTAACTTTTAACATTCTAGTTAAAAAGTCTGTTTGCCACGTCAATATGACCATATAATTAATTTTAAAATAAAAAAATTAAAAATTAATATATTTATTTAAAACCTAGCAAAATTGGGTATAAACACTAGCAAAGTTTACATCTTTAAATAGAAACAAGTACAAAGTTGGCATTCTTATTTGCATAGTTTCTCTCACTCTCTATATATGTGAAAATATTGTTGGTATGTTATCCTCTTAAAATTTTTTAGAAAGATCTATTTAAAAACTTATATTCTAATTAATGTTTTTAAAAACAAATTGTTAGATTAAAAGTTCTATTCATATAAATCATATATGTTAATTTTCATATTGATTTAACACTTATAACTTTTTAATTAACGAAACTCTATTTACTAACATATATTTAATAATGTTAAATTTTTCGTAATCAACAAAATAGTTAGACTTACTAGAACAATTTAAAAATTTACATATATAATTTTCACATGAATAGAACTTTCTATCTAATAGTTGATTTTTAAAAATATTAATTAAAAAATAAATTTTTAGACAAATCCTTCAAAAAAATATTAAGAGGAAGACTTACTGAACACTT